CCAAAAAGCATAAAATCGCATAAAATCGTACAAATCGAAGCATAATCGAAGCATAATTGACCCATTTTCAGAGCATATTTAGGGCATAAATGTTCACATTTTTAGAGCATAATCGGGCAACTTGAAACGCGCAATTTTCCTATCTCTACCAAACGCTGCCGGCAGGCCAAGCTAGGCCCGCTCTTCCGCCAAACCAAAGTTGCCAGCTCCGCTTCGCTCCACCGGTAACTCGGTTCGGCAGGGGCCTAGCATGTTGTTACCCCCTTTCACACCCTTAGGGGTGAGGGGTGGTTGCCAAGATTTGCACCAGGCGTTTCGTTGTCTAGGAAAGACCCATAAGAAACCCTGAAATTTGTAGACCTCTAGCTCATCTCTTTCCTCTTACACGGACGACAGACTGTGTGTCTGACAGACGGACACGAGAGCGGTTGTATAAGCCAGCTTTAATGCTTTTTGGCTGATCGATTAGCCAAGCTTATTACTCCGTCTGGTCGAAAAAAAATTTGTCTGTCTCTCGAGATGAGCGAACATGTTCGCAGTCGAACGAACTCGAACGAACAGCTAACTGTTCGTGTTCGTTCGTCCTCGAACGAATAGGGTGTTCCAGGCTATCTAAAACAGAAAGTAGGAAAAGAACAAACTCACTGACGTTTCTGTTTCCGAAGTGGCTCTTATTGGTCGAGCTGATCACGTGCCTTTACGTCCTTTCAGGTATGAGAAAATGTCAGATCAGTTTCGAGCTCCCCTCCATGTTTGAGAGGTTGGAATCGGATTAAACTACCATGGTAATTTCTCATACTAAACAGGCGGAAACAGATAAATCAGTGAGTTTGTTCGTTTTCACTTCCGCATTAGAAAGCCTGGAACACCCTAGTGAGCGAGCGACCTGAGATTTTTAGGGTCATTTCGTTCCATGAAAAGACAGGTCGAGTTCAAAGATGAGCTTACTAGCTGAAAAATTGGATTTAAAAAAAAAATCAAAAACACCGGGGCCCAAAAATGATGTCTTTTAAGAATTTTCTTTATTTACATTTTTCTAAGAGGTATCTCATCAACGTAGAGTCCTATGGACGAAAATTTTGCCCGTTTGGCTCTAGCTTGAACCGTTGAGGCGCTAGAAGGTATTTTGGAGGATAATAAGAAAAAAAATGTACAACCCTGCATACTTAGTCGAGGTGATGGGCCGTTGACGGGCCGTAGGCCCGTATCTTTGTGTACATTTTTCCACTAACCGATTCGGGTGTCAGCGCCGCAGTCAAAGGTAGATGTCTGACAGGCGCGTCGCCACGTAACATCGTTTCGTGAGATATCGCTAAGCCTGCTACGCAAGACGTGGTCTGGCGTACATCTACCTTGTATGTAAAATAAATTACCCATAACAATACAACCAACCATGAAGTTTAAGTTTCAGATCCTTGAATCGGATAAGGGCATAACCAGGTACACACAACACAAAGGTACGGACCACAACTCACCCTCAAAGATAATAGAGCTGGATTCTTGGTTTGAGAGCAAAATGCTTTCAATCGAATAAAGAGCATTTCTCACTTCGAGCAATTCAACTCGAAGTAAGACAAAAACGCGTGATTCAATGAAGACCAAATGTACTTAGAACTAAGTGCAATACACACCTAATTCAAGTGCTAAACGCACTTAGATCCCGATCATTTATTATTTGAACCAAGTGTTACTGTCACACGAGAAGTAAATTGCTTTTAAACCGAGTTCATTATAATATTCGTTGAGAGAGATGAGAGCATTTTGCTGTTTAACCAAGAATTCAGCTTTCAGGGTTATTGGGGTGATTGGACCGGCCTAAGAACGTCTCTTACTTCAAATGGCCTGAACGCTCCTCCAGTGAAAATGTCTTGAGCAACTTCAGCCGTGGATTTGAAGAGATCGTGAACTGCTTGTGAGCTGATGGCGAAGTACAGAGTCATACCGTAGCAACACCAAAGGGCCACAACTAGTCGTAGGGCGGCTAGAAGCTTGAGCCCAGAGTCCTTTGAGACAGCGCTGAACGCGCAGGCACAGAACACACCAAATACGTAGTAGCTGAAGGTCTGCGAACACAGACACGGTTGTGTTAAGTTTCTTTTATGGCTACCACAATTTATTTTGTTGCACGGTGAATGAAAATTTTTAATTTCGGGAAATGTAATCGGGCACCTGTAAATGGGCGTTTGAACAAAGACACCGCACAGCGTGATCTGAATTAATTGGAATACGGCCCCCCCCCCCCCAAAAAAAAAAGAATTATCCATTTGGTCTAGCAAAATCAGAAAGTAGTGCCCCTGACCTTTGCATCGAAAACTACTGATTTAACAAAACTGAATAGGAACGCATTTTAAAATGTAACTTTTGCCTTCAATGGGTTATGTCTGTTCTGTGATCACCAATTAGATTTCCCTCTTCAATTTTTTGTTGAGGAAAGTCAATTAGGACGCCTACCGTTATACCGAACAATGCTTATTTTTAGTGACACTTTTCTCACAGTTACAAAACCGTCAAATGGTCTAAAATCGACCATGCGTGGTAATTTTGACCACCTCGTTGTAGCTGCCATGGGGCGAATTTTAATATTTGAATGTGTCCACCTCTTGGTCCACCTAAATCGACCCAATGCAGGCCAAGGATAAGAATGGTTTATATTTGCAATGCGTGTCAAAGAGAGGCCAAAAGAAGGTGGTCCAAATTACCTTGCATGGTCCATATTTGACCATTTGACGGTATCTTCTAAAGTTCTAAAGAACGTTGCTGTCATCAGTTTGACATACCTCCTCTCCTTCGCGCTAAAATAGTGGATACGGACAAAAACTGCGACTGTTATCTCAAATTACCACTTGGACTGTTTTCTAACAAAGACTGACTTAGAGGACCGATACCTCGGAGACGAATGTCCATCGATGACGGAAAGGTCTTATAGGTCTCTTGTTTACCTTGAAACGTGCGTAAATCAAACTGTGATCGGATCGAAGATAGGTTTGTTTTGTGAAGGGAAAACAAATGAAAATCAAATTTATTGAAGTCCCCTTGTGAGATGTTTTAGTTGGAAGACCCTTAAAGCGTTGTTGCGTCCGTTTTCTAGTTCATCTCATTCTTATTTATTTCACCTCTACGGGGTTGCTATCATTTCCGGTACTGATCCAAGGTAGCTTTAGTTGCTTTATTTTTTTACGCGCCCTTCTGCTTTTGAAAAAGCATTAAAGCGGGCTCATGCAACCGCTTTCGTGTCCGTCCGTTCGTCTGTCCGTCGTCCGTGCAAGAGGAAGGAGATGAGCTAGAGGTCTACAAATTTCAGGGTATCTTTGTGGTCACTCCTGGACAACGAAACGCCTGGAGCAAATCCTGGCAACTATTTCTAAGGGGGTGAGAGGGGGTAACAAAAAAACAGGAGTTAGTCCAAAAAGTAGGATTTTATATTGTATGTTCTTCTAAGGGGTATCTCGCACAAGTAGAGACCTTTAGGCAAAAACTTTGTCCGTTTGATTCTATTTTGCACCGTTTGGGCGGTGTAGTCACGGTGTTGCCCCGTTACAGTCTCTTGTCGTGTCCAGGGAGCAAATCTCTAGGGCCGCAGGCCCCCTGCCGGAAGCCCTAGTTGACTCAAATATGCAAAGTGGCTTACAGGTCACATTATTTTATTATGTTCTCCAGTAAGTCTCGTGACCAAAATGGTCGCCGCAGGCTGGACCATCGCCGCTGGCAGGCCAAGCAGTAGGCCATTCCAATTTGGGGTTCGAAGTCGGCGATTTTGGAGGTCGGCACCTCATATGAAAGATTGGACCTAGTAGAGACCCTGTGCAAAGTTTGGGCTCTGTGCGATAACGTTTACCCGACGCGCATCGCGATTTTCTGAACGGGCTCGAAATTGGCGCGCGGCGACCTGCCATCTTGTTGGCTCTGCCGTGCTGACACGGTTGGGTCAGAGGAGACGTCTCGGGTTTAAATTGAGACCGTATGGGTCCTACTTCACATCCGACATGGTGAATCCGAGCTCGCGACTGACCGGGCGTCTCCAGGGGCCCAAACGTCGCGAGCCGCGCGGCTCGCTCCTGGCAGCCGAAATTGGCAAAATCAAATATGTTGTTTTTGTCAATACGTAGGCTGTACCGTGCCCTATCTAAAGGTATGTAGCGTGCCAGGTAGCGGTGACGCGCCAGGAGCCAGCCGCGCGGCCCGCGACATTTGGGCCCCCGGAGACGCCCGGTCAGTCGCGAGCTCGGATTCACCATGTCGGATGTGAAGTAGGACCTATATGGTCACAATTTAAACCCGAGACGTCTCCTCTGACCCCACCGTGTCAGCACGGCAGAGCCAATAAGATGGCGGGTCGCCGCGCGCCAATTTCGAGCCCGTTCAGAAAATCGCGATGCGCGTCGGGTAAACGTTATCGCACAGAGCCCAAACTTTGCACAGGGTCTCTACTAGGTCCAATCTTTCATTTGAGGTACCGACCTCGAAACTTTTTTTCTGGTGGAATGGCCTACCAAGCAGGCCCCGCCACTGCCGAACAGAGTTCCCGGCGAAGCGGAGCTGGCATTTCCGTTTGGCCGGCCCCTACCGAACGGAGTTGCCGGCGAAGCGGAGCTGTCAACTCCGTTTGGCGGAAGGGCGGGCCTGCTTGTTACAGTGTGCAACTGGTATAGGTGTTTGGAGTATTGAGCAGCACAACCAAGAGGAAATAGGCTCCGACAAATCGTACTCCCAAAGTCGAAGTTCATAAACTTCGGTTGGAGTTCAGCCGAAGTGCGCTGGAGTTCACTTTGGAAAATTCGATCGATGTTCGCTGAAATTCACTGAAGTTCACCGAAATCCATCGAAGTTCTCGGAGGTCACTGAGGTTCAAAATCAAACGTCAAAGTTCCTCGAAATACAAAACTAGGTAGATGTACGCCAGACCACGTCTCGCGTAACAGGCTTCGCCATATCTCACGAAACACTGTTACGCTGCTACGCGCCTGGCATACATCTACCGAGGCCTGCTGCGCTGACACCCTAGTCGGGCTAAAGGCAGAGTCGTAAGTAGGCCTTCGGCCGTAAAAGTCACAACTTTTGTTCCTCGGGGTTTTATTTTGACGAGTTCACCGGAGACCATCAAATATCTGAGAAAAAAATTTAAAATGTTTAGCGGTCATTTTCGTGTAGAAAACTCCCTCTGGTGCCTAAACGGTTAAAGATAGAGCCAAATGGCCGAAATTGTTGCCCGTGGGGCTCTACTTTGATGAGTTACCCCTTAGGAAACAGTAAAAAATATTTTTAAAAATTTTGGGGACCTGTATTTTTTTTGTTTTTTGTTTTTGTTTTTTTAATCCAATTTTTGAGCTAGAATGCCTTTCTTTGAACTTGATCTGTCTTTTAATGACGCTAAACGACCCTGAAAATCCCAGGTCTCCTGATGGAACTGCGGGATAGGATCCGGACACGACATTCATCCTGAATGCATCCTGGCGCGTCCTCGCTCTCCTTTGACGTCTACGACCTATCTCAAACACGTCCGCGATCCTGCGTGTCTGAATCACATCCAGACCTATCATATCCAGGTCCAGGATGTATCCCTGTCAGTCCCAGATCTGTCATCTATCCCCAGCCCATCCAAAGCACGTCTACGATCCTGCGTGTCTGAATCTCATCCAGACTTATCATATCCAGGACGTATCCCTGTCTGTCCCAAATCTACCAGTCATCCTCAGCCCATCCAAAGCACGTCCACGATCCTGCGTGTCTGAATCTCATCAAGATGAGCCGCATCCACGCAGCACCCACACCCATCCGAAGGACATCCACGCGTATAAGGGTAATCCGCATTGGATCTTATTCGGTCGTATCCACGACGCGTCTGAATGTAAGCGAGAGAACCCATAGGCGTCGGGATGTATGACAGCGTATCCAAGACGCGTCCGGATGAATCCGATCGCATCTAGATCGCGTCCGGGGGCATCCGATCGCATCCTGGACGCCGGACGGATGTATGTGGTCCCATCCAGGACCCGTCTAGATCTACCCTAGCATATCCAAGACGCGTCCGGATGTATCCGATCATATCCAGGACGGGCACATATGCATCCGGTCATATCCAGTACGCATCTGGATGCATCCAATCATACCCAGGAAGCGTCAGGAGGCATCCGATCATATCCAGGACGCGTCCGGATGCATCCTGATCATATCCAGGAAGCATCCGAATGCATCCGATCATATCCAGAATGCGTCCGGATGTATCCAGAAATATCCAGGATGCCTCCGGATGTATCTAGACATAGCCAGGACGCGTACGGACGCATCCTGGATATGTCTCATCGGGAATGCGTCCGCATATATCCAGATATATCCAGGATGCGTCTGGATGCATCCAGACATATCCAGGATGCATCCGGATGTATCTAGACACAACCAGGACGCGTACAGACGCATCCTGGATATGTCTCATACAGAATGCGTCCGTAGATATCCAGATATATCCAGGATGCGTCCGGATGCATCCAGATATATCCAGGATGCGTCCGGGTGCAATCCAGACGTATCCAGGATGCATCAGGATGTATCTAGACATATCCAGGATACGCCTGGACGCGTCCTGGATATGTCTAATCCTGGATGCGTCCGTACTCATCCAAACATATCCAGGATGTGTCTGGATGAGAAAAGGGAATGTACGGGAATCACTGGGGCTTAAGAGCAGCGGTTGTAAAAAGCAGTCCCACAAAAAATGTTAAAAATCAAAAGTTAAAGAAATATGTAAGCTCTTTAACTTTTGTTTCATAACATTTGTGGGACTGCTTTTTACAGCCGCTGCTCTTAAGCCCTAGTGATTCTCGTACATTTCCCCTCCTAAACGTGGCGGTAGTGCCTAAACGGCTTCATGTAGAGCAAAACGGACGAAATTTTCGCCCACGGGGCCGCAATTTGACGAGTTACCTCAGCCACGGACTGGGGGTCTAGGGGCCCAGTCTGGAAACTGCTCCGAGGGGCCCCAAAAGATACCTTTTTTGCCGTCAAGGGGCCCCAAAAGATACCTTTTTGCCTTCAAGGGCCCCAAAAGATACCTTTTTCGCCTGGGGCCCGGTCGGGATTTCCCGACTAGCCAACCCGGGCCAGTCCGTGGCTGAGTTACCTCTTAGGAAGCATTCTCGAAAATCACAAAAAATTGTTGAAATAGCAGCTTTTGGAACGAATGCCCAAAATAACCCCTAAATATGAACTTGAGCAACAATTTTTGATGCGTCTTTCGATGGCACATTTAGACCAACAATATCCCAATGTAGAATGAAAATCGGGAATTTACACTTGGCGGGGTTCCCTTGTTGGTTCAAGCCATTTCCTCTTGAGCACAATGCGATCGCGGTCATCTTTTAATTCTAGGACGAGAAACAACAACACAAATTGACCAAAATACCGTTTTACATCATTAGCTTTTTAATTCCGTTTTTTCAGACGTCTCTTTAGACTCGCTTTAGACTTTTATATTGTAACTGCCACGGTCTTGAAAAATGTCACCTTATTTCCAAAGAGTTGGGATTCTATCTTCGATAACAATCGTCCATCTCTGGGTACAAGACGGTCTTGCCACCATCGAAGTGCCGCGGCTAGGTCCATCTTGTGACCTGCTCAGCCTCATCTGTTCTGAATGCACTGATCAAGGCCACCCTGCCACCCATACTTCAAATTAGCGTGAGTTATTGATGCTAGCTCCCGCTCTTGAAATGTTTAGTAGTATTGAATGACCCCTCAACACCTCGACTATCTGGTGTTACTCTATAATATATTTAGGGGACACTTGGCTTCTGCGTGCCTCTGGGCTTTCGGAGGAAAAGAAAACGGAACGAGTCGTGAAAGGAAATTCTGTGGTGTGGAATGTGGGCGTTTCGCCACCCGTACAGAAAAATGTGGCTTTACGATGGCCTCAGGGTGGCTACGCAAGAGCCATCCCGAAGACAGACAGGAAACTGCCTGTAGCCATTGCTTAGCCATTCTCCTGCCGCATGAAATGGCTACAGGATGGCTATTTAAGGCCAGAAAGAGACATTCTAAAGCCATCGTCAAGCGAGCCTGATGCCCTTGCCAAGCCCCTGCAGAAGCCCCGCGTAGCCACAGCGGAGCCATCGCGGGGCCTCCAGGGAGCCGCCGCGGAGCCAACGCGAAGACACTGCGGTGCCATCCCGGAGCCACCGCAGAGACACTTCAGAGACATCGTGGAGACACTGTGGATTCCACGAAAAAAATAAAGGTTGTACCCATGTGATGCATTTTGAGAATTCAGCTTCCCACCGCGATGGCCACCGCTGCCCTCTGAGGTGATGTTTCGGTATAATTACTAGACCCGGTGGGAGTCGAACTGTCGAACCAGCGACTGTGCGTTCCGCGCTCCGGTCGAGGGGGAATAACTTGGGTCCGTAGCGTACTGGCTATTTCTGGTATTTCTCGGGTATTTCTCCTGCCATTTCGGTTATTTCTCGCCTATTTAGGATTATTTCAGGGTATTTCTCGGTATTTCGGAGTATTTCAGGGGTATTTCGCGACTATTTCACCGACTATTTCCGACTATTTCGCTCTCTCTCGCCTTTATTTCGGACTATTTCGGGGGAAGGTGTACGAACTATTTCGCAAGTGATGTCCCCCTCCGCTCCGGTATGGTATCCACTGGGCCAGAGCGATCCGTTGGGAACAGGAACAGTCGAGGGGGAAATCACTAGGGTTCGTAGCGTACGGACTATTTCGTGGTATTTCTCCTGCCATTTCGGTTATTTCTCCTGCCATTTCGGCTGTTTCTCGTCTATATCGGATTATTTCAGGCTATTTCGCGCTATTTCAGGGGTATTTCGCGACTATTTCACCGACTATTTCGCGTCCATTTCGTCTTTATTTCGCTCTACTTCGCCTCTATTTCGCCTTTATTTCGGACTATTTCGGGGGGAGGTGTACGAACTATTTCGCAAGTGATTTCCCCCTCGGGAACAGTCTCAGCGCACAATATCAGCAAGTTTCCATCAACGGATAAAATGAAATAAAGTGTGGTCTCCCTTCTCCGTGGCCTCTTATGTATCTACAGTCCTCGCTTTATGTTAAGTTTGAACGGTGACAGAAGACGCGAAGGAAAAACTGGTTGGGCCTTGACCGGGATAGAACCTCCGCTTACTATCCAGCCGCCAGGCACGCGGAAACCAATGCGCCACAGAAGTGACTGGTGGGGAAAGGGTAGAACGCGCTCCTTTTGCAATCGCTACCTCTGAGAATCGAGTTCATCGTCGCTGCTGAGTTGTCGATCGTGTAAATTGTAATATCTGCCAACGGATCGCACTGGCCAAGTGGATACCGTGCCGGGTCGCGGAACAGACAGTCGGTGGTTCGATTCCCCCCGGGTCCAGTTGACCGGAACATCAGTTCCGAGGTCGATCCCAGCGAGGTGGGTCCCAAACGTGGGTCCCAAAACATCACATGGATACATTTTTCTCTGAATCCACAGTGTCTCCGCGATGTCTGAGGTGGCTCCGGGATGGCTCCTCAGTTTCTCCGCGTTGGCTCCACGGTGTCTCCTCGGTGGCTCCGCGGCGGCTTGGCACGTGTACTTGAACGGGGCATGAATATAAGAAATAACATAGTCCAGAGAATGAGTAAATGAAAGGGACTCGGGAGGCCTTTACCCAGTCAACAAAGCAGCTACCATATACTTTCGGGAGGCACTGGGGATGATCCTATGGGAATCCCTCACAAGTACTACTGGGACGTCCCGAAAGTACATGCCACATAGTTCTTCAGGATGTGCTGGGCAGCATCTCCTGACTCACATCCCGGCTAGGATCTAATTGGGAGGCACTTCTGATTGGATGTACTGAGAAGTTACTCCTCAGGACATACCAACGGTGGAGCTCCGAAGGGATGTCCCACCGAGGTGCTACTTAGCATGTCCCCAGACAGGACATACCATCCAAGTACCTCATTAGGTGGAACTGCCGATCTGCTGCTAGGGATGTCCCACCGAGGTGCTACTGAGTACGTTCCCAGACAGGACATACCATCCAAGTACGTCCTTAGGTGGACCTGCCAATGTGCTGCTAGGGGCGCAACAGCGGGATTCTACCCGGCATGTTTTAGCAAAGACATAACACGTGGGAGCTTCCACAGAATGTCCCGACGATACTGCCCCGGAGGGCATCCTTTAAAGGTTCTGCTTAGTATGTTATCGAGCGAATAGAATTTTATGTAGCTACCAATTTCTGACGGCTTATTTAAGCAAAAGTGGTAATTAGGTGTATTGTTTTGCTAAATGAGAACAAAAGTTCACACTGGAGTGTAGCTGTGTAAGATAGGATGTTTTTAGCCCGCCCTTCTGCTTTGAAAAAGCTATCCAGCGGGCTTATGCAAACGACCTCGTGTTTGTCTGTGTGTCTGTCTGTCTGTTCCACAAGAAGGAGATGTGCTGGAGACTTCAAATTTTCAGGGGATCTCAAGGCTCACCACCACAAAACAAAACGCCAACGGCAAATCCTGCCAGCCACCCCTAAGGGGCTGAGAGGGGGTATCGAAGAAAACAGAAAAGGCCAAAGAAGTTGGATTTTTATTTTTGTTTTGTGATTTTCTGAGGGGTAACTTCAGTAAATAGAGGCCTCTTGGCGAAAATTTCGTCCGTTTTCCCGACGTAAAAAGATGTTTGCTTTTGGTATGCTTTCTGTATGCTTTCTGTATGCTATC